TAATAATGGCTAAGTATTTTGTAGGTCTCAAGTGATGGCATCTAAAGGCGGTTACAGGAAAATCTCTGGTGAAGAAGATAAAAAAGTCAGTTTTGTATCTTCTCTTTTTTATCGTTGGATGAACGGGGTCCTAAAGGAGGGCAGTCAAAGACCTTTGGATCAAAATGACTTTTTACCCTTGTCAGACGAGAACTCTGGCCGTTTGGTCACCGACAAGCTTAAAAAAATCTGGGAGAGCGAGAAACATCGTTGCAAGATGAATGGGAAAAGGCCCAAACTTTGGAAAAGCGTGTTTGATATGCTTTCTGCCAAAGATGTTATCATCATTTTGATGGGGAATATATTGTGTACAACTTCTCGCCTTCTCTTTCCACTGTTCCTCGGGTATCTTGTTTCTAAGCTTATGTCAACTGAGGCAGAGAATACTTATCGGCTCTACGTCTGCGCATTAGCTATGTGTCTCAATGGTTTGATCGGTGGTCTTGGTATGCACCAGGAAAGCTACAGATGTGAAATATTGGGGATCAAAATAGGAAGCGCCCTGAGGGGACTGGTGTACCAAAAGGTAGGCACGATCCTAAAGAGTATTATATGCACTTGTCATAGGCTCAACTGATTTTTCTAATACCCTAAACACCCCAAACTAAGCCGAAAAACACCTTTATCTATCCGATCTAGAAATAATTTTTCCAGAAATCTGATCGATTGCAACCAGCTTATGCCATATGGAGACCCTGAAGGAGAGGGTAATTGAACATCATCGCTGGTGCTTCTGCGAGAGCAAGCAATCCCGCTCACCAACAAAAAAAACCGAAGAAACAAACAGTTATTTAGCCTGCAGTTAACGGGGAAGTAGGCTACAGAAACAGAACGCATAAGGCTACGCTTCTTAGCGAGATTCAAAATGGCGCCTTAGTTGTGGCTCTTTTTCAAATTTAAAGATAATTTGGTAGAGTTTTGTTTACTCTCGTCTCGAAACGCAGGAACGGATGTCTTAATGCCGTAGATTAAAATCATATGGTTTATGGAACATACTTCTCTAATGTCTAATCTGTACTTTCTTTCAGACACTTCTACTCAGCAAGCAGACGTTACTGAAATTCACTGCAGGACGTTTACTCGACCTGATATCCAATGATGTTAAAAGAATGGAAGAAGAGACAGTCAAGTTTTTTGTCTCAGCCGTTTTCGCAGTCCTTGCTTATGTAGGGACAATATTCCTTATCTACAATTTGATTGGCTGGCAGGCTGTTATGGGTGTGTTCCTTCTTTGCGTTCTTATGCCATACTTTGCCGTCTTGTCCTATGCTAATGCTAAGCTGCGCTTGCGCACA